TTCAACACAGCCAAAATTTATACCTAGCCTTTCAATGTTTTGTTTTGCATTTAATTCTTCACCTCAGATGAGGGTCACTGCTTTACCTTTACTTAACATTTTGGTTGTCAAGAAGGTGGCAGTTAGACAGTCCACTGAAATGTGTTGTGTGAAGGAATCTAAAATTATGACCAGTAAGTCCAATTATCATAATTTGAGTGTTCTACAGAGTAAAGAAAATAGCATCTTTTTTCCCTTGACCCCCCCATGCAGCAGTTAGGTGTGTCTCCCAGTCTGCACATCGGAAGCTGCTCCCAGACGACTATGACTATGATGGACCACATCTCGTTACACAGGTTCCAGGGCCTCGCTCCAAGGTGACCCCCATCTGTGCAAGTCAGATATGAGTAAAAGTTAATTAAATGAAGAGATTTGGTCACTACCTTTATACATGTAATACCTCAATCAAATAGGTGACATAACATTGTGGGTTGAATGAAGCAATTGTGATTCAGTAAGTACACAGTGTGCTGCTAACATCATACTCTGTTTGTGGCAGATGCTGCTGGAATCCTTGGACACCATTCAGGTAAAATACTGATAAAATACAACTTTTGAATTTCTAAGATTTCTGACATTACATTATTGTGTATGAACATCAAAGACACTGAAATTTCTGACTGTTTAAACGGTGACAACCCGAAGTTCCGACAACTCAACCTACAATGTATGATCCAACAACCCTTAGTATATGCATTGTACATTAATTTTGTAAAGTTAACTCTCATAAAGTCGGAACATAGGGGTGTCAGAAAGCAGAATCCTGGGTAAAAATTTATCCAACGACTTGATTCCAGAACACGGAGGCAGTTCAGTTTTTCTGTGATTTTAAGAAGAGCAGAGGAAACTGGCTGGTGGATGCAGATGGGAACAGACTGCTGGATGTGTACAGCCAAATAGCCTCTCTACCTCTGGGTATTATATACTTCCTTTGTAACATTGTGGAGTCTAGTTCTGCATATAGAAACCTGGTAGCCTCAGGTTACCAGTCCTCTTACAGCTCCCAAGACCTACATCCTCTCCGCAAATAGCAGAGAGGATGCAGAGGATGTAGGACTCACTCACTCACCCACTCACCCACTCACTCACTCACTCACTCACTCACTCACTCACTCACTCACTCACTCACTCACTCACTCACTCACTCACTCACTCACTCACTCACTCACTCACTCACTCACTCACTCACTCACTCACTCACTCACTCACTCACTCACTCACTCACTCACTCACTCAGCTCCACATGAGTAGGATGTAGGATTTGGAAACTATAATTGGGAACACTAAGTGTGTGTAATGCATAGAATTTCTGACACTGTTTTCATATGTTATAATACTTCCAGGATAATTGAAATAAAGACATTTTAACATTCCAGGATACAACCATCCTGCCATTGTTTTTGCTCTTGCTGATGAAAGCAACTTGGTGAGTCTGTCTACTTTTAATCATTCACATCAGAAATCTGTACGTGTCATGTTGAAATTTATATGCACGTTTCCTGCCATGCAATACCAGGATCTGTTGAGCTTTCATTTCTTTTCAAGGTTATCCAATGCTGACACCACAAACAACCATCGTGCAAAACACTTTGGTGACATAGAACATGTAGTACCTGGGTAGCATGCATGATAACCTATCACGGAAGAATTACTAATAATCAGGATGTATTTCATGTATATTTATCCAGAGCGCGTTCGCAAACCGTCCTGCACTGGGAGTGCTGCCCCCTGTTGACTTCCCTGACACTTTGCAGAAACTTTTGTCGGTAAGAATTAAAAAAAATAAATAAATAAAATGAATGCAAGGAGCTCAAACAATGAGGGTCTATAACTTAACATCAACTTTAGACAAGAACTCAAGAAGTTTTTGGGTAGTTGAGGGAATCCAGTACACACACCTACATGATCAACAGGATTCTTAATGCATGTGTCGACATTGGGATGGGACCATCTAAAAGCCACAATGAACAGGACTGGTGGTTCTTGTGCATACATGTTGGTGGTCACCTGTAAAGGCTATGTTATTTCAGTTCAGGTCAGTCTGTGAAGACAGTGTCATAACTAATAAAATATCTGTAGTTTACATGTAACGTTACCTAAGATGTATTTTATGAACATTTTTGTATGATGATCTTAATCCTAACCTCCAGGTGGCTCCTCCTGGGCTCAGTCAGGTGCAGACAATGGCATGTGGCACCTGTGCTAACGAGAATGCTTTCAAGGCTGTCTTCTTCTGGTACAGGGTAAGGATACATGTAATCGGCTCTCTCAGAATTCCCAACTGAGGCCTCCAAAAGTCAAGGGTCGATAAGTGATTACCATGGCCTAATGTTCCTACTGTAGATTATTTATAACTGGCATCATTTCACACTGAGCACTCACACCCATTTTCACATTGAATTAACCCCCTTATATTACGTTATACCTGGAGTAGCTGTCATAGGCATAATGTTAGATGATGACTTACAAGTATTCAACAAGATTGCAATTTACATTCTATTCAATATAAAAAAAACAACTTCCATATATTTTTAAAGCTTCAATGTAAGACTAGTGTAACATAAGGTGGTGGATAAGGTTGCTTTCAATGTTCCCCACACGGTCTCACTATATACATGTATATTGATCCTCAGAGAGCCAGCATACATGAATCTGGCAAGAAATTCACCTTTGGCTTTGAAGCTCAAAATGTTCAGATCTGGGCTGCTAACGGCCTGAAAATGGATAGAAATACCAATGGACAGCTACTTTAAATCCGTTACATGTATTGTTCATGTTCATGTTGCTGATACAACATTTTTACACCATTGAGTCTTGTTCCTTCAGGCCAAACAAAGAGGCAGTCTCATTCACACTGAAGAAGAACTGGAGTCATGTATGAGACATGAGGTAGAAACTTTAGTCAAACTTCAAGGTCACGTACACAAAACTTCAAATGTGTGTGATACACTGGGGAAACTTAGATGATGTCTTTGCAGCATGAACAGATGGTGTCCTGATTATTCTTCTCAAAGCAGATAAACTTTTAGCATTTTAAGATAAATAACCAGTATGCAGTTGCAAACATAATGCCTAAAGCAATTAGTAACATGCTGTTAGTAAATGCTTTATGACAGAATGCTCCTTACTTCATGCAGATTGTGCTATGTGTACATGTGTGCCTCCACGTAGTCTCAGTTTAAGTCTTGTTCATATGCACTTCTTCTTCCCATTTCCAGGCACCAGGCAGCCCAAATTTGTCAATATTAGGCTTCAAAGGTGGATTCCATGGCCGAACCATAGGTATTCTCTATGTACTGTTAACTTCACATGGACTATATGGGAGGACACAAATATCCTGGGATCCAATGTATCCATATGTCAAAGATAATTGGAATAGAAAAAAGAAACAAATTTGTTTTGCTACCACATGCAGGGTCTTATAATGCAATTCCTTAGCCCCCAACTTGACATGTAATCTCCTAGTAATAAGAAATAAGACTACAAGCTATTTGCTTTGATGATTCGTGCCTCCATACAGGATAACAACCATTAGATTACATGTAACATTACACTTTAAAATTTCATCTACATCACAAAGTTTGACTTTTGACTTGACTTTATTTGTATCTACGAGCAGCTATCCTGTGGTCCTATTAACTTAGAGACAGGGCAACTATAAGTCAAGACAATTTTATTAGAATTCAGAAATAAAAGAAATCCAAGTTTATTCAATAACTGTCCTGTTGTGCCACATTCCTAGAGGCTTCCTATAAAACATGGCTTATAAAAAAACGGCTTATTAAAAAAACATGTCTGTACCCATGAAGAGTTTGACAATGTGTACTTGCAGGCTGCTCTAGTAGCTCACATGCAGCACCACTCCACAAGGTGGATGTGCCGGCCCTGGACTGGCCCAGTGCACCGTTTCCTGCCACCAAGTACCCGCTAGATGTGAACACACAGGAGAACAGACAGGAGGAGGAGAGATGTCTGGACAAGGTGAATTCGAACTTAAAGCTTGTAAATGTGCAGGACAGCCACAAAAACTCAGACCACACCAATTTAATTTCTTGGTTGTCAAATTGACCTGCTTCAGTTTTTTTTTCATATTTGAAAAAAAAAAAATTAAAATCTGACTAAAAAGAAATTAAATTACTGTCTTACAGAAGGGAACTATTTTATCTCATTTACAGTGTGGGTAGAGTGGCATGAGATCAATTCAAACCCTGGCAAGGAATACCAAAGCACAACCTGTGGCACATTGTATATAATCTTTATGCTGCCAATTCAAAGTGGGTGGATACAAAGAGAGAGAAAAATAACTGCAGTGTCTTCTGTGGCACAGCTAATATGTTAATATGTAATATAATGCATGACCCTGTCTGCATGTACATGTAGTGATTTTCAACTACATGTAAAAG